TTTTTTTTTTTTTTTTTGTTTAATTGCATGTTGTATTGGGTAATTAAATTACTTAAATTAAAAGTTGGTCTAGAACAATAGTACAAGTAGTACTATCAAAAAAGTCATTATTAAAAAACATTTTTTATATTGAAAATTAATCATTGCTTCTAATAACAACTCAATTTCTCTTCAACTTCATGTAATTAATAATATTAAAATGTAACTCACTTTGTGCCCTAATATATATATATATATATGCACACGGCATTTTCTGCACTTGTTTTTTGACTAAAGAATAGAATAAAAAAAATAAATAAATAAAAACATAAGTTACAATTTCAAATGGGCTCAATTGAATATAATTTGATCCCAAAATTGTTGAAAATTGAAATCTCACTTACTCAATATTTGGACATTATAATTATTGACCTAAGGTCCTTAATTTTCCCCGTATAAGCCAAGCCAAGCCAAGTCAAGCCAAGCCAAGCATGTATTGACAAAATTGACACATCTATATAATATATATGCTATATGATATACGAAAATATCGATTCTATCTATGTGGGCCCACACTGGGATCTGAGCTGTCGAGGACACGTGTACTCATGTAAGTGTGTATTAATCCAACGGTTATTAAAACATATTATAAACTGCAGGTAGGGTGAAATCCATATGGTCATATATACTATATCAAAGGTACATTTAATTTCATGGCTATTTCATGTACTTACATTGGGTAAAGAGACAACACAATATATAATGACACAATCATCTCTTTTCTTTTGGTACACACAATCATCTCTCAACTTTCCTATATATGTCTTGTTGTCTATATATATATATATATGCACAACCAAAAAAACTCATAGCTAGCAATTAACTATATAGTTTTATCAAATGGTGATTGGTAGTAAATAATCGAGATTAGTTCGATTAAGACGTCGATGTTTGTTCGGTAGGGCGACCAAGCATCCATAGTCGGGGGCGCCATAGAGTTCGTGAAGGAGCTCGAGCACATTCTCCAAACGTTGGAGGCCAAGAAATTCACCCTACTAAACGACCCGAACAAGGGCCCGAATACCAATATCAACCGGGACATGAAGCCCGTGTTCGCGAGCCCGTTCGCCCGATTTTTCGTGCACCCCCAAATCACGCGCTCCCACAATCTTCTCGGAATCGATTACGCGTGCCAATCGAAGTCGGCTGTTGCCGACATCGAGGTCACGTTGATCGAGACACACGCAAACATTCGGATCCTCACGAGGCGTGGGGTCCGCCAGCTTTCGAGGCTCGTGGCCGCCTTTCACTCTGTCCTCCTCACGATACTCCACCTCAATGTGACCACATCAGACTCGCTCGTGCTCTACTCGATTAGCGCCAAGGTACGTATATATAGCGCTCGATCGACGACCATTTTTCTATGTTTTTATTCAATTGGTTGATATATTTGGTAAATAAAAAAATAATAATAATCTCTAGTTACATTTTGGTCCAATATTGGTTTTGAAATTATAAATTTAGTATCTATTATTTATTTCCTATGTGAAAAAAAAAAGTTAAAATAAAATGAAATTGGGGACTGTGGAAAATGACCTTACCATGCAAAAGAATCTACTTTTTCATTTTTACCCCCAAAGCACTGCCTGCACGCTATTCCAAAGTCCGAACCAACAAAGTACTGTGTGAAGATTCTAAAACAGTAATCAATATACTAATTTCACAAGGGCATTTTGGGTACAGCACTAAAAAATGATTTTTGGGTTTTTGGGCATAAATTCTTGAGAAACATAGTATTAAATATTCCCAAGTATTTTTGGGGAATGTTTTTTTTTATTAAAAATATATATATATATATATATATATTAGGGGTATTTTTTTTTTTTTTTTTATATTAGGGGTAATTAATTAAATTAATTGTTGCAGGTTGAAGAAGGTTGCCAGCTCAATTCAGCTGATGACGTGGCAGGGGCAGTTCACCACATGCTTAGACTAATGGAGGAAGAGGCTGTTGCAGGCTTAAATGTTTAGCTACATATATAATAGTAATTAGTAAAAAACTTGTTAAACCTTTTTGTATTTTTATTATGTCTAATAATCATATTTAATTTATGTTTTGGTCATTTTTGTTAGCATTTATCATTTCTTTCCATGGATCAAAATTTTATAAATTTGAGTTTTTTTAACAGTAGTGGAATGAGACAAGTTTAATTTATAAACGGGTTAGGTATTAATATTAAAAAAGTTATACACTAAAATATTATTATTTTTTAATTATTTTATTTTTTATTAATATATTTAACATCACCAAATTAATCAAACTCGATCTTCTGCTGCTAAATATTAAAACTTTTATAACAAACTTAACGAAAATTTTTTCTTATATTATTATTATTTTTTTTAAACAAATAATTTCATAACATTGAAGTAATAGTAGAACGGTAATCAACTGATTACGTAACACTTGAACACAAACATGGGCGCGGGAAGCACACACTCAACCGAGCAGATATACCTAAAACAATCCAAACAAACATGCCTAACATAGTATTAGCATGTTCCATCAGCATATTCCTTGCAAATACCAAAAGCACTCTCATTTCTACTTGCCTCATTTCTGATGTTGCAGGGCTGCATTTGCTGGTTGGACGACACCATATTCGACTACACCCCATAAGTCCTGAGATTCAAGACACAACTTCATGAGATTACTCCAATAATTATATTGTTCTTCGTTGAACTTTGGAACGAGAGAAATGAGTTGGCCTAACATTTTGAGAACCAATGCTCTAATGCCAGATTGAAGGGAGTGAGACAATATATTTGCTAGAAATAGAAATGTATTTTTACTCACTCTTCTAATCAAGTGACTTACATCAGACTCATATTTATAATATCCAAACCAAATGGTATTTAACAACAAAATAAATAGACACTTACTTCCAGATGACTCTTTAAACCATCTAAGAGACATTTAGCTTATATACGAGACATTTAGGAATACTAAAAGACGTTGACCAAATACAAAGAGATATCTTTGACTGAAGTAAATTCAGTTTACTCCAACAAAATCAGCGTTGATTTATTCAGTGTTTTAAAACGCATATAACATAAGGCGTCGCGTGTTGCTCTTTATACTGCGTAGCTTAAATAATGTTGCGTGTTGTGTAAGCTATTTGGGTATAAAAAATATTTTTATAGAAATATTATTATTATATATATATACATTACATATGCATAAAATAAAACTCGATGGTTGATTTTAAAAATTATCATAATATTTGGATGAAATTAAAACTAATATTTAAAAGTTGTTTCTCACAAATGTTTAATGTAAATATGAATATTTTAATAATAAAGAAAATATGTTAAAAATAAAAACAAACAATGAAAATATAATAAGGTAAGTCATAGTTTGATTTTAAGTATGTACATTTCAATTAATTTTCTTAATTTAACTACAATTCATTTTTTTTTTAATTTAACTACAACTTAATTCTAACCACTAGATCTGAATTTTTTATTTAATTTAAATTTTAAATATAAAAAAATAAAATGATATAATAGAATTAAACTGATAAATATTGCACTATTCAACTTAGGACTTTGCATTTTAAAAATTTTGATTTGAAATCAGTATAAAAATTTTTTGGTTTTTAGTTGTCATTTGAAAATGTGACTCTAGTCACTAAAAAATACAATTTTTTTTAATATTTTATTGTTTAAATTAATGTCGTCGCAGAAATATAAAACAAAATAGCGTGAAATAGTGTAAAATAACACAAAATAGCGTGTCATTCATCATTTTGCATTTTGCATAAACTTTTCAAGAAAAACTCTAAATATATAATGATAAGTGGCAATTTCTTGATAAAAAGCACTAAAGAGTGCTATAGCGAGTTACACAGTGTGCTATTTAAAACAACGATTACATCACCGTTGATTATATTTATACTTGGATCACATATTTACATCAATTTTTGTGGTATACATTATTTTTATCTCCTAAAAAAATAATTAGCGTTGCCGTTTTCTCTCCTAAACAATAGATGTACAGTAATGAGATTAAGTTTAACTTATAAATTGATCCCATACTTACAATAATTTTGATAAATAAAATGTTAAAAATAACAAAACTATACATTAAAATACTTTTTTTTTTAATTTTTCTCTTGAGACACCTCTAATTTTTATTTTTTCTCTTGAGACAACTTTAAATTCATAAACTGGTACAAGTTTTACACAATTTTGCTGAATAAAATATTAAAAATATCAAAATTATACAAATTTTATAACAAACTGGAAAAACAACAAAATTTGTTTCAGACGAAAGAAAATTATGTTTTAACCAGCCGTCTTTTTTCTATCATGACTGATTCCTGAATTGTTTGTACTTTCTGATATTTTTATAGACAGACTTGATGTTGAAAGTATGCAGGGCTCTTGAATTATTTGGAAAACTCCTACATCCCATGGATCACTCCAGGAATTTTTCATTTCCTGGCCTTTGTTCATTTCTATCTTCTATTCAGTTCTTTTATTTTTATAATAATAAGTTAAATTTTAATGTAGACTGACTTATGGTAAATGTTCACACCCTCCAGTGGTTGCCCAATAAATGGTTTTACGAGTAATTATATGGATGAGTCACTCAATGTCCGATCAAATGTATGTGGTATGGATGAAGTTTTGGACATAACGAGCTAATTAGAGTAGAACATTTCGTGGAGATTGATTATTTTAAAAACCATACGAAGTTATTAGAATTTTTTACAAGATACTATTGTTTTTCATGATTTTTTTTTTTCTTTTTTGATATTTTTATTGTGGTGTGTGACGTGTGTCAAGCCATTTTTAAGCTCTTAGTTGCATTTTATTGATCCATATCGTCAGTTAGTACTTTATTAGTTATTATGTTGTTTTGTGTATTTTTGTTTTATCTTTGTGTGTTTTTTGTGTTTATGTAGATCCGGAAAGAAGAATCTGATTGTGTCGACACAATTTTCCACCTGAGCCTCTATTTTCAGTCCAAGACGAGCGTATGATCAAAGGTCGTTCGAAACTATGGTGGAGAGGCGTGAAAATCCTGAACCGAGATCTACAGCTAATTGGTCAAAGGTGATTTTTTTTTACAAGAATCGACTATTGGACATACGAGCCGCCCGCGAGCGTCGCCCGTGCACGAGCTACCCGCAAGCAGGCAAGATCCACAATTCATGCGCACAACACGACCACGCACACCGCGAGTCGTCACTCACGTGCAATCATCGCCGAGCACAGTCAAGCCATGCACGCGAATCTCCAACGCGTACTGAGCCCGCATCAACCCTTGCGACCTACGTGTTTAATTCGCAGGTCGCGAGTTATCGAACGCTCCACCACCATCCGCAGCGTCTCCGAGTAGGTTCGCGAGCACGTCGAGCGACGTACACTGGTAGGTTGCAATAGCTCCGCCCACAAATAACGAGTTGTCCGCCTTACCAACGCCCATCTTCAAAGTACTCAGACGCGCGACTCAAGTTGGTCTCGCGAGTCACAGCTTGTGGGCGCGGACCAGCTCGTGAGTTACAAGTGTCACCAAGTTATTCTCTTGTTGCCGAATTCGTGGGTTGCGGGGTTCAGACCCAAATATTGCGTGTCGCGAGTGCTATTTTATTAAAAAAATAGTGATTTTAGTGTAAGAGCTGCTTATTGGGATGTATAAAAATCGGTGTTGTATGAGTTGTTAGGCGCCCGCTAGGTGCTCATCTAGCGCGGTCTAAAGCTCCTAGGTGGGGTCTAGAAATCAAGATTATATACTTTATTTTTTTTATTTATTTTCACTACCTACAATATAAAATTATCTCAACTTATAATACATTCACACACCTAATTCCAAATGATAATATTAATATATTATAAAAAAAACATGATAACAAAATAATGTAATTAATATGTAAAAAAACAAAACTGAAAAATTGTCCCGAGCCTGCCTATTGATGAAATGCATGGTTATGAGAGTGTTGACCAAGTCAAACCAGCAAAGGAAAAAGAATGATAGCTTAGCTTGGCATTTTGTCCATGTTTGCATGCATGGGACCACCTTAGCTTTATTTTGAATTCTCTTGTCTTTTAGCTTTCATTGTTAGGGCTTCCTACTACAATATAAATACTCCATGTAATTCCCTTAGTAATGGAGGATGAACTCTATTTTCTAGATCTGAGATTTCCTCTTAGCAGCCATGACGTACGGCTTCACTGTTCTTGACATAACATGAAATTCTTCACCTATGAGCGCCTAAGCCCGCGTAGGCGCCGCCTGGCCACCGAGTCCGCCGAGAGCGCTTAGGTTCTCCTAGGTTGCCTAGGTCCAGCCGCCGGACCCATTTTTTCAGACGATTCAGCCGCCTAGGCCGATTTTTACAAGAATGATTAAAATAATTTTCCTTCGCATTTTGACATCATTACCTCACTTTGCCATTTTTTTTTAGTAATTGTCCTTTCTTGTTTAGTAATTTCTCTTTAGGAATATTTGGATGTCCAAGACACTATTTTTAGAATTTTTAGTTCTTCATCAAGGCCTCGCTAATTGAAGCTTGCAGATTTTGATAAAAGGTTCGATACTTCGTTAATTTTTCGTTTGTACTTTACAAAAAATTTTCAGGTAAAAGTGGGTGTTTGCATGGAGATTATGAGGTAAACCATATTGGGATATGGTTAAGTTTCTAGTTTTTAGTTAATCTGGTGCCTGTAACTGTCAGTAAATTTGCTCATTTCAATTTCTATGGTTATTTAATTAGAATTTCACAGTTTTGCTATGGAGCTATCGGATGGCTCGACAGCCTCGACTTATGGAGTCATCCATTGTTATTCACAAATGATGTATTGACACGTGTTCTAAACTAAATGCACATTGAACATGTGTCAGTATATAAAGTTATGGATGACTTTATAAGTAAGCCATCCGCTAGCTCCATAGAATTTCTGTGAACTTTCAAACCAATCAACTTTACTATAATTTTTAAAACTTTGTTTTCTCGTTTTTGTGCTTT